GAGGGGGGGGGGGGGGGGAAGAACACGTGCACAGAAAAAGATAATTTCCTCGTCTTGTAAAATTTTATGATACATCGCAATGGCGATGCAAATTTAATTTTGAGAAACCACATCATGTCTGATGTTTCTCATCTAATGCTGTAGCACGAGATTCTTCTAATTTTTTCGATTCCATAATCAAGATCGAAAACGTGCGAATCCAGCATTAATCGATTAAAAGAAACACGTTTTCTGGGTTCGCAATTTTTATAAATACATTTTTAAATGTACATTTTTTAAATACACTCATCACTTCTTTTATGGAATCATATGATAAATACGAACTTAAAATTAATGTTTGGACAATTAATGTTTGCTGTTTTTGAACATTTTATATAATTTCTATAAATAAATATAAATCTCCATAAATAAATATAAACTTTTCATAAAATGTATTCATGTAATATTATTGATTTTTCTCATATATTTGACGGCAATAGCCTTTTAGAATAATCTCAATAAATGATCAGTCAATCTTTAGCAAGTGATTAGACAATTTACCAACGCATTAGTTTACATATTTAATGTAACATAATGATAAAGGAAAAATCCTTAGAGTATAATATTATAATAATAATCATAATCATTATAATATTATCTCAAAAATTAAAAACTCTCTTGCTGCAGATTGCAACTTTTATGATCAGTTCAAATCTTTCTAAAGCTATAACTTTTAAAATTGTGACTTAAAAGTTACATATATGTACATATCTTTTAAGTCTCATTGATTCAATTCATACATTTCGTTTTCGATTATACAATTTCTTTCATAAACAAAAAAAAAATCATCCGAGTTAACGAATGATTCTTTTTTTGGGGGACAATTCGAGACAACGCCCTCCCTTCTTACAGATTTGCAATCAATCCGCATAGTGAGATCTTCCTCATCAATAATTGGATCTCAACATGCGGATGTCTCCCCCCTGAGAAATTGCAAGAGAAAAAGGAGAATCTCTTACGCACTTATTTACCAAATAGGGAAAGTCGCTTTCACACGCACGCCGTTTTACTCGCGTTACTTGTAACGGCGATCGACCGATGTCCTACATCACGAATTTGTGGACGCGCGTGCAAAAACAATTCTGATCCAAAGCAACACGTTTTTCCGGCGACCTGTAGAACAGCTCCATGCGCTATTTTTCCAAATGTCATGACGTCACATTAACCATGATTACGTATTCGTCGTAAGACTCCGTAAAGCCGGAATTGCATTTCTTCATTTATCAAGAGATAAAGGCCAATACGAGCCGAACACGGATGATGACGCGTGAAGAATTATCTTTGACGAAATACGCATGTGTTATCCTTCGGAATTATCACTAATCAATTTAAAAAATCGACAGACCGTGGAAGGAAAAACGTGTTCTTGGAAGAGGAAGCTCTTCTGCTCGTATACGCTCACAACACATTCTCTTCTTCTGTATGCATGTATATATATATA